AGGGGTGATGAACTAGAATGCGACATATCATATGGATCCAAAAATTCAATTGTTTTCAATTGGACAGAGGTAGTGCAGGAATTAGGTTGCATCATTAAAGACCTTAAAGCAAAGAAAAAAAGAGAAGATGAAATTGAAGTTGGAAAACAAAAGGAATAAGGCCAATTTATTTTAGCTTCTGTTGATTGTATCATGGTGTTTTTTCTTTGTGAAATGTCATCCCTGTAATATTTAATTTTTGAATGGATAAGAACCTTTGAAATTAATGAAGTATGTCCCTCTATGTTTGTGGCATTTTGGTTTTCATCCCTGTTTCATAATGATTTGTTTGTATGTCATCCCCATATGTTTGTGATTTGTTTATATTTCATCCATGTTTCATAATGATTTATTTGTATGTCATTTCGTATGTTTGTGATTTGTTTGCATAATACTATAGTATATTTAGGCATATAGACAACGTAATGATGGTTCATGTCTTAAAATAACATAAAAGCCAATAGGCATACAAATTTGTCTAAAAATACGTCAAATACACACCATAACAAAGTATCAATCAAACTATAACAAAATACACCATGGCATAACCATAAAAAAATACACCATGACATAAACATAAAAAATACACTATGACTGAACCATAATAAAATGCTTAATTTCTACACATCCATAGGTTATGATGGACCACTTCCTTCTCCTTTGAGATTTTTTGCATTTAAGAACCCTTGTTCTATCACTTCTCCTTAACTCCAATTTCCTTGTGTTGTACCCCAAAATTTTCCCTCCCATTCTATTAAAGGCATACTCATTGAGGTCCCCAATTGCCCAAGGTTAACCAAGAATTGACCAGACAAATTCTCCTCCTAAGCAATGGATTTCCATCTAAGGTTTCATTTCTCACAAAGAATTTTGGTTTGCAAAAGCTTCAAATGATTTCCATGGCACCCTATACACCTCAATATAATGGCATAGCTGAAAGAAAGAAAAGAAGTGTAAGTGAAATGGTGAGGTGCATGTCGAAAGCTAAAAATATGTCTAAGAGATTTTGGGATGAAGCCGCTTCGACAGCAGTATGAAACAGTGTTAGCTGGGAATTTCGATTACACAAATTTTGAATAATTGACACTATGATCGAAGAAAGAATAGTTCAAAAGAAAGTGTGAGGAGGATTTTATGAAATCTTCGATTGAGCTTCACTACGTTGAACAGTTATCGAATGGTTCATTTTCGAACTATTGAAATATAAGCTATTCGAAGCATTTCAAGGGAAGGAATTTCGACTGTCGTGTTTATTTGAATTGGCGCTTCAAAAGGAAGAAGGTTTTGAATTTAAAAGCTTTGAAGAAACACGTGGAAGTCTAATGGTTCGAAAGACATGCAACCTTCGAATGTGGCGTGATTTCATAGAAGGACTGTTAGGGTTGAATCAGCCAAATATAAGTCCTTTTAGAGTCTTTGGATCAGTGTGTTTCCGGAATGTACCTGAACAGGCAAGGAAGAAGTTGGATGATCAAAGTGAAGTCTTGGTGCTCATAGGTTACCATTTGATTGGTGCATAAAAGTTGTACTCACCAATCGAAGATAAACTAGTGATCAATAAAGATGGTCTTGTAGATAAAAGAAAAGGGTGGGATTGGAGTCAAAGTTCAGTTCGACAAGAAGATGAACAGAACGAAGCTCCAACAAGTCAAAATGAACAAGTTGATACTTAGATTGGTCGAATTGAAGGAAAGAAGATCGAAAAGAATAGAACGAAGCTTTGATAAGTCAAGATGAAGAGGTGATACTTCGATTGGTCGAATTTAAGGAAAAGAGATCGAAAGGAACAAGAACGGTTCGATTAGGTTGATGTTTCCAAATCAAGCAATCGATGCATATGGCGACTTAATTGAAGAAGCCATGATGGTGAATCCTTGAGAAATTTGAATTGGAACTCAGAGCCATCGAAAAGAACAATGCTTGGGAGCTGGTCAAAAGAATCAATTGATGTGAAATGGAGATGCAAGTCAAAACAAACACCTAATAGGATGAAACTTGTCCAGGTTCACTCAAAGTTAAAAATGGCATGAAATATCTCAAAATGGCAACTTTTCAAATCTTTCGATTTTGTTTCAAAGCCATGGTTAACGGCTGATTCATGCCATATTTGTTCACCACCACACCCCTATAAGTACAAGACTAAATCATAAGCAAGGGACACATATTTCCTATCAAAGCTCCACGATCACACACTGCCTCAGAAAACCATATCAAATTCTCAAAATCATCATAAAGTGATCAAAACTTGAAACACACTTTGCATGCTCCTCCAGTCCAAACGAATACCAGATTTGTATTCCTGAGATTCTCAGAAGATCATACCATCTCTCCTCCAAGCCTGAAGCACGCTCAAAAGTCACGCACCAAACCCACCGGTCCTTGGTAAAATTCTGGATCATAACCCTTCGAATACATAATTTAAATTTATTTTATATGCATGTTTATATTATTATTGATCATTGGGTTAAGTCTAATGTGCTACATGCGAATATGAGTGCTGGAAGTACAAGGTGCCATTTTTAGGGCTTCGAAGCAGCCAAGCTTTGAACTGGATTTTACAGGGAGCTTTCGCCAATTTTAACCCCTGATTTGGATTCAGGGGATGGTCTTACGTAGGGTAGGGTCCTTGTATTTGCTTCGATCCAGCATTTGATCAAGTTTGCAGGTGTGCGTGTGTGCAGGGGAAGGACCTGGGTTCGATACTCAAGTCGTGCATTTTGTTTTTTCTAACTATTTCCTTGCAGATCTGGCACTTCAAGTCCAAACACACACAACATGTACCATCATATCATCACCATGTGATCCAGATCCAAACGCCTCAACATGCAGCTTCATGGTAGACCCTCAAGGGCTAGCAACATAGGATCTAGCGCAGCTCCTGAGTTCTGTTTGTTTGAGCCTAACGTTTTCCAGATCATACCACCCCTTGTTTACTTTTGCTGCTTGGCCCATCTTATATGTTTGTTTTTGTTCTTTTTAGTTACTTTTTATTTAATTATAAAATCAGATAAAATCACCAAAAAAATTAGGTTTTAGTTTTTTTATTAAAATTAATTTTGTTAATTAATTAATTACCTTAACACTTTCTTAAAATTAAAATTAAGTAGACTTAGATTTTATTCTCTTTTATTAAACAAAAACAAGCAAAAAGATTTTCTCTTAGGATTTTTTTTAGACGTCCTTTCAATCCACACATGTTATTATCTTTCACATTCTATTTTTCATACTATTGTAACTATCTACTGGATGTAATAGAATAACTAGGACTTTTACTCATTCTGATTTATTCCCCATTTTGGACATGTAATTAATCCCCCTCCCCAAAGCCTTATAATAGTTTAGGATTTATCTTTTCACATTTTAAATTCCTGCAAACTATTAAAATGTTTAGATGCATGATGTAACAGCCCGAGCCTTCAGCGTTCCCGACACTATTACCTCACGGTCTTCTCTACCCCCTCACTAGTAGAGTTTTTGTATTTCGTGGGAATCGAACCCTGTACCCTGTGGTTCAAGTACATGCTCAATGCATTCCCACTACCAATTGAGCTAGTAGTGGTAATGCATTGAGCATGTACTTGAATCCCAGGGTACAAGGTTCGATTCCCACGAAAGGCAAAAACTCTACTAGTGAGGGGGGTAGATAAGATCGTGAGATAATAGTGCCAAGAATGCTGAAGGCTCGGGTTATTACATAAAAAGGCGCCTTTTTATGTAACATCCCGAGCCTTCAGCGTTCCTGGAACTATTACCTCACGATATTCTCTACCCCCCTCACTAGTAGAGTTTTTGTCTTTTGTAGGAATCGAACCCTGTACCCTGGGGTTCAAGTACATGCTCAATTCATTCCCACTACCAATTGAGCTACTAGCTCAATTGGTAGTGGGAATGCATTGAGCATGTACTTGAACCCCAGGGTACAAGGTTCGATTCCCATGAAAGGTAAAAACTCTACTAGTGAGGGGGGTAGAGAAGATCGCGAGGTAATAGTGTCGAGAACGCTGAAGGCTCAGGTTGTTACACATGACTAATAGGATTGTATGAAAAGAGATTAAAATCTAACGCTAGTAAACCTAATGCAAAGACAAAAATAACTAAAAACAAAACAATTGCACATGTACACCTCTAGGGAATCCCACTTTGGTTGCCTTCGGAAAATACAGACATAACTCTCGAAATGTGAGAGATTTTGGTGTATACCCTCCCATTTAAAGATCATATGTCCCTCGATGACCCTATCGATATTGCCTCGGTAAAGTGATCTTAAACCCCTAGGGTAGTTACTAAAGTTTCTTGCCTAGTTGAATTTGTGACTGTATAAACGTCCCTTCGAATGTCCCTAAAACATCCAACGACTAGGGATACCTACTCACTAATAGTAATATAAGACTGTCTAAAGGAAAAGAGGAAAAGAACAACCCTTTCAAATAAAAGTATATAGTTCATAGATGTTATGCTCAAACAACTTAAAACACTTTTCACACCTCACACTTTCAAAAATATTTTCAAAACGCTTTATCAACACTCTTGAGGACTGATACAAGAGTTATCATAAATCAAGTTGCCTTACTATTGGCAATTCAAAAATACTTTTCAAAACACACAAAGCACAAGGTATTTCAAAATGAGCTAAGCATCTAAGAGCCCGTAGATAACTACGAACGGAAAGAGTGCTAACACCTTTCCTTTCCATAATCTACCCCCTTACTCAAAAAACTCTCGAAAAGTATTTTTCTGTTCTTTTCACCCTTTCCTTTGTTGGATAAAATAAAAGTTGGTGGCGACTCTTGCTTACCACAAAATTTGCGAATACAAACATAAAACCAGTATAATAGTCGATTCTGCTACCGTATCACACCTTGCAACCTTTTGTTTGGTTGGCTTTCTCTTCTGTAAAAAATCAGAATATTAGAGGTGCAACAAGTACAACACATCTATAGGTTTAAGTCATTATCATATGGTTAAATAGACTCAACTAGTTTTAGAAATCTAGGAGTAGTAGAAATAGGTGCAGCAAGTACTTCATTAGTTGTTGGAACAGATGCATATAATATATAGTCTGGTGTAGAATATGTTATACCAGAGTCAATTTGTGAAGATGTAACAGGTGCACTGTGAGCTGAAGTAACATGTGAACTATGAACTGATGTAACAGGTATACTCGGAAGTGATGTAACAATTTCAACAAGTTTTGGTTGAGTCTGAGTTACCTCAAATGCTGCTGCAAGATTTGCAACAAGCATTTCGAACTCAGGGTTAAATTTAGTTTGAGGTTCATTTATTACTCGTTGTTCCTGGGTTACCGCTCCGGCCTCAGTAGGTTGAGTTTGTGCTTGAATTTATTCTTGGGTTGTAATACCAGATGGTTGTCCTTCAGTAGGTTGAGTTTATGCTTAACTTTGTTCTTGGGTTGTAATACCAGATGGTTATCCTTTAGTAGGTTGAGTTTGTGCTTGACTTTGTTCTTGGGTTGTATTACCAGATGGTTTGGTTGTATTACCTGTTGCAGCTTTCTTTGGCTTTCTTTGGACATAAAATTCATAACACTAGTAAGATATCAATGTCATTAATAACATATTCAAATTATGGACATGTTCAATACCTTCCTTTTTTGAGCTTCAAGGTCAAACACTTGACTTGTACAACTTCTTGCATAATGGTCATGTATACCACATCATGTGCAACAATAACTTGTTTGTTTCCTTTCCTTAATAGGGTCTTCATCAGGTTCCCTCCTCCGTAATTTCTTTGGCTTTCCGGGTCTTATTTTATATGATAGAGGTAACATCTCTTCCATGTCAACCTTTGGCCACATGTCTTGTCCATTAATATGAATTACACTATAACCATAGCATGTCACATAAGTCTCCTTGGAATAATAAGCACTCAAATAATCTTTAGGGCATTGGTTCCTAAAACCTAATGCAGCTACCGCGTGTCTACAAGGGATGCCTACTAATTACCAAAAGTTACAATTGCATATTTATTTAAGTATCCATAATGAAACTATTCCTAGTATGGATATTGTGATATGGTGGAAGAACTGACTTGGATGTTTTGCGTTTTATCGCAAATGTTGCGGTTAGCAAGAGTCGCCACTGACTTTTCTTTTATCCAAAAGGAAAGGTGAAAAAGCACAAGAAAGACCTTTGTGATTATTTCTTGAGTTCGGGGGGATAGATTAGGAAAAAGGAAGGTATTAGCATCCTTTTCATCCATGGTTTTCCATGGGCTCTTAGTTACTTGCTAGATCACTTGCTTTTGTTTGAAATTATGTTTTGTGTGGTTTTGAAAGTATTTTTGAAAATAGGCCATTGTTTAGGCAAAATTTGTAATGATTCTTGTTTGTAAGAATGTATACAAAGTGTTTGATCTTTTGAAAATGTTTTCAAGTTTTGAAATATGTTTTGAAAGTGTCGGTGTTTGTTATGAAAATAACAAGGATGTTTTTGTTTTGAAATGGAGCAAGTAACTATGAACATTATACCTACTCAAAAAGTCTTTCATGTTCATTTCCTTTTTCCTTTGACATTATTATCTTACCATTTATTTGGTAAGTAACCCTATCTTTGGATGTAAAAGGGACGGATGTGGGTCATCATATGACCATGATTAGCAATGTTGCAAGATAACTTAGCATTTTTTAGGGACTAAGATCATTTTGAAAGGCAACTTTTGATAGCGTCATCGAGGGACTATGATCTTGTATTTTTGCTTGTATTTGCTAAGTTACCTCACATGCGTAATATGGTCATTTTTGTAAGGCAACCAAGTGGATTTACCCTAGGGGTGCTTGTGTGCAAGTGTGTTTGATTGCATGCATTTAGTATTTGATTTTTTGGGTCGTCTATTTGTTGTTTTTATCTTGCCATACACACCTAATTGCTAACAACATATGAAAGCAATAAAAGTGCGGAAAAGTAAAGTCCTATACTATTACATTATTAAGGGGATAGGGTGTACAAATTTACAAATGGGATTGCAAGAAGTTAAAGTCCTAATTATCTATTACAACCATATTGAAATAATGTACAGGAATTGAAATGGACTTGTTTTGTTTTTGTTAAGAAATAAGTTTATTTAAGAAAATATATTGATCTTTTTGTTCTTAAAGAAATAAAATAAAACATGTGAATATGAAATATCTTTGGTGTTTTAGGTTATTTAAAATCTAAAATAAAATAAATAAGAGAAAAGGGAGTTCGAATCAGTATGTTGCTGAAACAACAAGGAACAAAAGTTCTGAATCTGATACGCTGCAAAAGAGAAAATGTTAGTAGGAAAATGGAGGGTCAGAAGTTCTGGGTCTGGGTACACCAAATTCTGAGGTTGAAAGTGGTTCAGAGGCTATAGCGTAGATGGGAACCTAGAAGTTTATGTACCTCTGGCAAGTCATAAGTTCTGGCTATTTTGAGAGAGTGGGGTGATAATGTTGTTAGTTGCGGATATCTAGAAGTTCTGATTTGGTAGTATCGTCTGACAGATAAATGGGTAAAAAATATCAACGAATAAACCTAAAAAGATGCTTCAGGGGCTAGAACCCAGGACCCTTAGCACTAATGTCTTATGCACACGTTTGTCTGCCATTAGGGTGGCTATACATCCGATATTAAAAGCAAAAGCATAAAAATGTATCACAAAGTAAACTCTGATGATGAACTCCAATTCTTTCTTCATAATAATAATAACATTTGCAACTTAGTTAAATCTCAACAGAACAAAAAACACAGACATAGAAATTATGGAATTTTTTCCATCATGGTTTCAGAAGCATAAAAAATGTCAAGACTGTAAATCAGAAACAAGCATGTATCTTCTAGTCCTAGTTTCCTTAAGAAGTTCTGAACTGATGTTCTTCCTATTTAGGCAGGAAAATACATGAAACCTCAGAATATGTGCAGCATCAGAATCAGGATGTCTGCATTGTATCTTGAACATGCAAGTCTAACAATGCTTAAGTGATATGATGAAGGTTAGCAAAAGCTTTCCTTGCAACTGAAAAATGTTCTGTGAGCTGGAGTCTGGTTCTGACTGCTTATAATGTTCTGATTAGCTTTCTCACCTATTCAGCAGGCTGGTACAACCTTCAAATTGGGTTATGAATGGTGAATGGATGATTTGGTCAAGAAACACTTGAGGGAAATTGGAGTTTGAATGCAAGAATAAAAAACTAGTAGGTTTTGTATTTGTGTTTGCAGTTTCAGATTTCTGGATATTTTAGAAAGGTTTCAAAGATTTTCCTTTTGATTTTTCTGACCGGACCCTTCATAGTTGCAAATGAAGTTCAATTTATAGGCAAGAACCTTGAAGCTTGGAGAAGTCAAAAGTACCTACATCATGTTAGTGTGTTGGCTTGTTCTTGAAGCAAGATAAATAAGTATGGTGGTTAGAAGCTTTTAGCTGTGCCTAAGCTGGATTTATAAGCCTGGATTAAGGAAAAGTGCCCTCAGAGGCAAAAGCAAAGCATGGGCCCAGCATAAACATGTACAAGAGTTTGCTTTTTCAAGGACAACGATGGTACTTCTATCTCACACGTGGGGAAATGCTTTGGATAAAAACTCAAAAGTGGTTGTGAGCATTAAATGATGATGAGATTTATCAAACCAGAAATCCCGCGCTATGAGATTGTGCATCATAGCTTAGATATGGTCCATAAGTTCAGCATCAGTGCAACTTAGAAAAAAACATCTAACTTCTAATCCTTTAATCTTTTCGCTCCAGCATGTTCTGAAGGAGTTCTCGGACTTTTCTGAAAGCTTGTAACACGTTTTGTAGACTTTCTTTGAATTACTTTTACAAACTCTGGCTGAACCTTCGTGAAAACTGGCCCAGAAGTTCTAACTAAGCTCTGTCTTGAAAATGTCCAGAATTTGCTGAGTGCTTCAGTTTCATGGGCGTGTCTTTGAACATTTATAACTTGAAATTCCAGCATTTCCAGGAGAAGTTATGTTCTGCAATTTTTTAGGTCTTATTGAGATTTAAAACTCTTGTGTTATAAGTTCTTCCAGAATCAGCTTGCATCATGGTGATAATCTGATCAGAAGTTCTGAGCTTGTCATATTTCTTAAACACTTAGAAAAATTCTAAGTATTTTAGAATTTTGACTTTTGAATTTCTTGAGGAAACAAAGTTCATATTTCAACATGTCTTGATTAAATATGATTCTTGAAACTTGATTTTGATCAAAAGTAAAACTTTGACTTTTCAGTGTGTAAATGATCATTTTACCCTTGTGAATGACTTTCTTGAAAAATTTGTAATTCAAGGTTTGGAATTGGATGGAAGCAAACCTGGGGGTCCAGGGTGATCCATTGAGAAATGAATTGGCAAATTTTGGGGTACAACAGCTGCCCATGTTCAATCTTCTTAAACCTGAAGAGTTAGGTTGGTGAGTCCGTCATTCGTGACTTGAAGGTGAAAGATGATTGAACACTAGATTGTCCAGAAACTTGCACTCGAAGATTAATTATGAACGGGCCTATAGATTCCATTTGGAGGAAAGTTGATAAATACTGGAAGAAGTGTCAGCACAAATCTCTTGTTGATTTATACTAAAACTTGATGCTTTACCTGTGAGGAATAGAGTTAGTAAAATGCAAATGTATGCATGATGTTTTCTAGATGTGGTATTATGCTAAATTCATTTTGTATGTACATGTTATGATGTATGAATATGAGATGTATGTTTTTGTCCGAGAAAATAAACCCCTGATTGCCACTGAGGAAATTCTGGGGGGTTGAATCCATGATTGCCGTAGGGGATGAAGAATATGCATATCTTCAAACTTTGTTGAAAGGATGCTTTCGCTGGGGAATATCCCTTGAATGTCAGTTGTTATCTGGTCGGATCCAGGCTTCACAACAACTTGCTGGGGATATGGAAGTTAACTGTTATCTGGTCGGATCCAGGCTTTGTAATAACTTGAAGTGATAACTACTATCTGGTCGGGTCCAGGTTTCATGTTTTTTGGAAAGTTGTACTATTATCTGGTCGAGTCCATGCTTCATAGTGTCTCTCTGGGGAGCATAGTTAATTGTTATCTAGTCGGGCTCCAGGTTTCACAATAAACTATTTGAAAAACTATCATCTGGTCGGGTCCAGGCTTTGCAGATTTCTGAGGTTAACGAGGTCAATTGCTATCTGGTCAGGTCCAGGTTTCATAATAAACTGTTTGGGGATTTAGTTGTTATCTGGTCGGTTTCCAGGTTTCACAATGAATCTTTAAGGGTAATTGCTATCTGG